CCTTCGGGGGGTCACGCCCACGCCCCAGGCTCTGCTCTCGGTCGGTAAGGTGAGGCCGATCGACGCAGCCAGGGCTCGTCTGGGACTCAGGGCGGTGGACTGAAGGGTGGGTGCGAACGGCCCGCGTGCAGCTCTGAGGCAGCCCCTCCGCTGGGCCTCGGTGTTATCTGTGAGACGCGAGCGCTCGCACCCACGTGGCAGAATCGTGAGGGGCAAAGGCACGGAGCGCTGGCCCGAAGCGGGCACGCAGGGGGTCCACAGCAGACACCGGCTGCGGGGCTCAGCCACATCTACGACATCACTGTCCTTTCAATACCCAACCTGGGACTCTAGCAAAAGGGAGAGGGGCGACGGAACAGACCAGCCAGAGCTGGGCGAGGCGCCCGGCCCACCTCCGAAGGCCGCGGGGTGGTCCTTCTGGCTCTGGAGGTGCCGCACGGCAGTGGAGGGACGAGTCAATGAGGGGGCGGTGGGGGGAGCCCCCACCGAGACGGGCGCGGGCAGCTCCGGCAGCCGGCCGGGCACTGCCAAGAGGAAGCCCGAGGCCCCAGGGCTGTGGTTGCTCCGCAAGGGGCTGAGAGCCGGTGGGGGCGTCCCTGACAGCGCCCCTCGCAGAGCCTGGGGACAGTGCCCTGGCACGGAGTGCATGCCCGGGGAGACTCAGAAGGCCCGCCCGGCCTGGCCGCCAGCCAGGACAACACACGTTCAAAGTCTCCCTGTCCCCACCCGACCCCCACGCTGGGCCCCTGGCCCCAGGAGGAGGGAACAAACAGGGCCGGCGCCTGGGAGGGCCGGCTGGTGGGCTCCAGGGGGTTCTCTGCAGACGGAGCCTGGCCTGAGTCCTGAGGCGCTCAGGTAAGACCCGAAGGTGCTCCTGGGAGGGGGCAAAGTGTGGATTAACGGAGGCGGGGGTGAGGCGGGAGGTGTGGGGGGACACGGAAGGGGAGGGACACCGAGGAGGGAGGAGCCACGTGGGCCCGCCCTGGGGCGGGGAGCCGGGGGCCTGCAGGGGTTGCTTGGCAGCCCAAAGGCTCGTTCTGGCACCGGGGTTTGGGGACGGCAGGCAGCAGGGCCGCGTGGGCATGGTCCCCGCGACTGTCACGCTCCACAGCCCTCTTGGCTCCCACGGGGCCTGGCCTGGGAAGAGCCGGCTCAGCGGTGAGGGCGGGATAGATTAAAAAAAAGAGAGAGCGAGCCCTGTCCGGTGCAGCTGGTGCAGAGGCTGGGCCTGGGGCTGCGCGCTTGCTCGGGGTTCTCCACAGCCCCGAGGCCCTGCTGGCCACAAGCTCCCGCGTCATGGAGGCCTGCGGAATGGCACCCGGCACAGGCCCGGCGTTCTCTCGGGTGGGCCCAGCCGCTGTGGTCAACTCGGCAGCAGAGAGAGGATATGGAGACTGTTTCCCGTTTTTCCTCACTGCCAGGGAGCTCGGGTACACTTTGTGCTCAGCCACAAGAGTGAGCACCTTTAAACCGGGCTCTCTGGGCCAGCGCCACCCCACTTCCCCACCCCCACATGGAGAGCCCTTAGCTCGGCACAGTGACCGCACCATCCCCAAGGCTCTTACTGGGAGCAGCCACGGAGCCTCTGGGCAGGAAACAAGCCCATTCGTGGTCCCCGGGGCTTTCTTTTGGCCCAGGGTTGGCAGCCGAGCTGCTCCCAGGCAGCTTTCGGAGGCGTAGCAGTGTGTCCGCCTGGAGCCATGGGCCCGTTGCACCCCTGCCCTGCCTGGGGCCAGCCAGGAAGGGTGTGTGGAGCCCCCTGCCCGCCCCACCCCGCCTCCCAGCTGCATCCGATCGATGCTCGTAACAGCCTAGCTAGTCCAATGGAGGCCGCCCACCCGCGCCCAGGAAGAGCCCTGGCTGTCATGAGGCCCACGGCATTCCACGCGGGGCTGGGGAGCCCGCAGCCGGCACCTCCAGCCTGGCTGCCTCCCCCTGCCCCCGGCACGTGGGGGGCTGATGGGGGGCTGATGGGGGCTGACAGCCACGGGGCGGGGGGGCGGGGCGGGGCTTGGCTCGGCCAAGGGCTGCAGCTGCCCGGCCCGGCTGAAGATGCGCGCACCGGCCCCGTGTGTTTTGGTGAGAGGCTGTGCTGGAATACGTGAGCCTCGCGACGGATGTGATATAAAAACACAGCCGGCTGGCAGCACAGCCGGGAAGGACGGCTCCCTCGCCAGCAAGTGCCACGGCAAGCATCTCCTCCCTCCCGCGGCCCCCCCACCCCCGGAGCCGGGGGCAGGCTTCAGAGACGGATCTGCTCCCCGGAGCATGCACCAGGCCGCCTGCTCCGAGGGGTTTTTGCTGAATTCCATACTGAGCTGTAACGGAATATCTTGGATGATTCTTCCCCTGCTTTTCTTTCAACTCAGCGATTGAATTAGAACACAGGAATTAGTTTAAACACATGTCTACCCATTTACATCTTGTAAGATCACCTCGGCACTGGGCTTGGCCAGTGCCACTTTCAAGCCAGTCTGCCCCCTCGGGGTCCGCCTTCCGAAATGTTCTTGTAGGGGTTTTATAAAATTTTGCCTGAACTCCCCTGAGCCTGTGGGGAGGCCTCCGGCAGGAAGGCGGCTGCGTCTGGGTCCTCTCCAGTGCGCGGCCCCAACGGCGCCGCGCTCACAGGACATGGAGCTGGGGTCTCAGGGTGCGGGCTTGCAGACCCAGACACTTCTGGGTTCGCGGCACGCTCTGCCTCACACCGGTGCGTCCTGGGCCAGACGGCCAGCTCTAGGCCTCAGTTTCCTCAGCTGCCAGCCAGGACTGACACCGAGCACCGTGGAGGAGACGTGGGATGGGAAAGGAGGGCACCGCGTGGGTGGACGGGCCGCGGCAGACAGATCTGCCGCATCAGCCATGGGCTGATGGGCAGAGACGTCCCCCAGACACGTGGCTCCTGGGTCACGGCAGGAGCAGTCCACGCCCCGAGCTCCAGCGAGGTGTCGCGTCCCTACTTCGTGGACACAGACAGTGAGACTGTGCGTGAGGCCACTTCCCTGCGGCAGAGCGGGGCGGGAAGCCAGGCCTGTCTCTGTTTAACCAGCTGAAAAGAAAGCTCTCCAGGCGGCAATTAGGATGAAGTGGGGAACATCTGCTGGCTGAATAGGGGATTAGGCGCCGGCCGCCAGCAGCCCGGCGACAGCTTGGAGGGTGCGACTCTGGGGTCAGGGAGGAAGGGAGCGGGGCGTGTGGGCATGCGTCCGCCGGCTGGGCTGCGCGTCCATCCCCGCGAGCCCTGGGGGCGTCCCTGCCCCGCTGCACCAAGGGGGCCCTACCGCCAAAGGCAACACCAGTGCCACCCCTCAGGGACCCCAGTTCGACTGGCAGGTTGGACCAAAGACTGACAGGCTTAGCAGGCTTCAAGCCACAGCCCCTCTCTTCCCAGGAGGGGTGCAGGGGCCCCGGCAGGGCCCGCGTCTGCTGAGTAGCTCAGCAGTCCCACAGCAGGACCGGCCTCCGGCACGGACCCTTCCGGTCCCCACCCAGTGCAGAGAGGTCACGGGTGCTCCGGGGGGCACGGGCTTGCGGAGCTGGACACTTCCACCTCCACCCGCCCCCCCAGCCCAGGTCTGGGTTCCCCTGCCGGTCCCTGAGCCGGAACACAGCAGATGCGGGGGTGCCCACGCGCGTCAGTGTGGACACGGTCTGGGCCAGCTCGGCCAGCCGGCTTATGGGACCTGAGGGCCCGTAACTTGGGAGGAGGAGGCCAGGCACCACCAAGGGTAGGGTGCTGACGGGACAGTCCTGGCACGGGGACCGGGAGAAAGGCGTGCCCTGGCTCCCCACCCATGGATGGTGGCTTGAGGGTGAAAGGAAGGACCCAGGGCTGACCCGTCCCCCGGGTAGACCTGAGGCCACCCCAGGCCAAGGGCGCATGAGCGGTGATCCAGGAGAGAGCTGAGCTGGCTGGGCGGGGCGGAGGAGGAGCCCCCAGGAAGACCGGGCGCCCAGGGGCTGGGGGCTGGGCGCTCACCTGCAGGGGTCTGCAGAGTGAGCCCCTCCAACGCAAACTCGGCATGTGCGTGTGTCTGGGGACCACGCCTTCCCCGTCGTGGCCAGTCCTGCTCCTGCCCGCCGACCCCGGCTATCCCAGCTCTGGGCTCCGTGACAGGGGCCGGCGGAGTCGGGGGCCCCCCAACACTTTACTCTCTCCTTCCAGCTACCCTCCTCAAGCCTCAGTGTGGGGTGAGCACAGACTCAGGGGGCGCAGGGTAGGGGCGTGAGGGGGAGCCGGGGCCAAGGCTGCGCTGCCCTGGGGGAAGCAGCTGAAATAAAGAGAGCGGGTAGGAGGGGCCTGCAGGCTCCGGCCCCCTCCCCAGCAAAGCAGGCTTTTCCCACCTCCATGGCTTTCGGGCCTGCGTGTTCAGAACAACAAAAAGCTGGCAGCAGCCCCTGGTCTGCAGCAGGGTCTGCAGGCTGGCCTTGACCTCAGCGCCTCCCCAGACCTGCTTCTGGACACAGGTGCGACCTGTGTCCTCCAAAGTGCCAAGCCCCCAACGTGCTCTGAGACGGGGCAGGCCCACAGCCACCAGGCAGAACGGCGGCCTAGGATGTGACCGCCCCGCCTTCTTCCACCGGGGAGGGGCTGCCAGGCCAGGCCAGAGCAGGCCCTGGGTGGGACCATGGAGGACAGGGATAGAGATGAAGAGAGGACAGCCCTCCAGGGTCTGAATTTGGAGTCTGGGGGTTTCTCTTGGCCAGTTACAGCACAAGAATATTGAGTATGCAAATGTAAAACATTTGGTTTAAAGAAGGCCAAGACCGCCCCCTTCTCATGCAAGAGGGGGGCCGGCGGGAATCTGGTGACCTGGAGTGCCCTCCTTCACCCTGGGCGGGGGGTGGGCAGGGGAAGGTCTGTCTGGAAGCTACCCCCGACTGGCGGCTTAAGTACTGATGGCGGCACCCCACGTGTAGATTACAAAGGTTTATTTAGAAAATAGTTTGGTGGTTTGGGCTGTCATTTTTGGCAAACACGTAAATACTTTCAGTAACCAAAGCCTGTCAGCGCCCTCTTTCCGCCCCCCAAGACAGCCGCCCCCTCTGGGTCCTGGGGAAGTCAGCCCTTACTCGGAGGCAGATCTGGGGGGCGGTGTGCGTCAGGGGACTTCCTCACCCGTTTGGAAGGTCGCAGATGCCACCGTGGTCGAAGACCTGACCTAACAGCCACACCCGGCAGGGCGCCCGGAGGGAACCCGGGCCTAGAGCCCCAGAAGCAGCCCCTCGCTGAGACGGGGAGGCAGAGGTGCCTCCCTTTCTCCTCCCCTCTCCCGGGGGCCTTGGGGTCTCACACCTACGCTCTTGCCCTGCCCCCTAGAGGCCAATCCATCCCTGGGCCTCTGGGGAACCTCACCCAGTTCTCTGGGAGCCACGCCCGCCCGCCCCCTCCTCCTGGAGCTGCCTGGGGCCTCCCCGCGAAGCGGGGGCACGAGTCACTGCCTGAAGCCCCTTCTCCTCCGTCGGAAGAGGATGTGCTTGAAGGAGCGTCGGAAGTCCTGGTTGAAGACGGTGTAGATGACCGGGTTGAGCGAGCTGTTGCAGTAGCCGATCCAGAAGAAGAACTTGAAGAGAGGGTCGGGCACCTGGCAGGCCTCGCGGCAGATGCCGTACAGGCTGTAGCTGAAGAAGAAGGGGAACCAGCAGAGCACGAACACGCCCATGACGACCGCCAGCACGAAGGTGAAGCGCTTCTCTCGCGCCTGAGCCACCTTGCGGCGGCACACACTGCTACGTGCCCGGCGGCGGCGCGACAGGAAGAACTCGACGGACCGCGAGCTGGCGCGAGACAGGCGCCCGCTGGGGCCCGGGGACCTCGTGGCGGCGAGCGCGCCCGGCTCCGAGGGCCCGGGAGCCAGCGCGTCCGCGCCGTCCGCGCCCCCCTCGCCTCCTGCGCGCTGCCGCCCACCCCGCCGCAGCGCCCCCCGGCGGCGCCGCCTCTCGGCCGCCGCGCTGCTGTCCTCCGGGTCCACGTCGGCGCGCGGGCGGCGCGCGGAAACGTAGTGCCCGTTCTCGCCGGCGCCCGTCGGCGCCCCCAGTCCGTTCTCGGCGGTCGGGGACGCGCCGTCGGGGCCCGTGGTCGTGTGCTTCTCGCTGAGCGTGCGTGTGCGCAGCTTAGCCACGCGGTAGATGCGCACATAGACCAGGACCATGATGAGGCAAGGCGCGAAGAAGGAGCCGATGCAGGAAGACAGGATGTACCAGGTCTCGTCGTTGAGGCCGCACTGCGGGTAGGCGGCGCCGTCGGGCTGGCGGTAGAGTGAGACGAGCGGCGGGAAGGAGATGACGGCAGAAATGAGCCATACGGCCACGATCGTGGCCTTGACGCGGCGCGGCGTGCGCTTCAGGTTGTACTCGACAGCCTGCGTCACGGACCAGTAGCGGTCCAGGCTGATGGCGCACAGGTGCACGATGGAAGAGGTGCAGAAGAGCACGTCGAGCGCCAGGTACACACCGCACCACACCTGTCCGAAGTACCAGTAGGCCATGAGCTCGTTGGCCAGCGAGAAGGGCATGACCAGCGTGGCCACCAGGATGTCGGCGGAAGCCAGGGACACCAGGAAGAGGTTCTGCGGTGCACGCAGCGCTCGGCTGGTCAGCACAGCAATCACCACCAGCACGTTGCCCACCACGGTGAAAACGATGAGGAAGCCCACCACGGCCGCCAGTCCCGCCACGGCGCCCGCGGAGTACTGGCCCGGGGGCGGCCCCCATGCGACCCCCGAGGCGTTGGCAGCCCTGCTGCTGCCCCCCTCGCCGGGGCCGCTGGAGTTGGGGCCCGCCACTGCCGCCGCCGCCGCCAGCGCCGCCGCCAGCGCCGGGGACGCCATGGTCCTCCCGCGAGCTACGCGGTCCCGCCTGGAGCCGGGACGCAGCTGCGGCAGCTCGGCAGCCCCCCAGCCCGGGTCGGCGCCCGCATCGCCACCTGCTCCTCGGACGCGCCCGCCGGGGTCCGAGGCTCCCCGCAGCCGGCCCTCGGCCGTGGTGGCTCAGCGGGCGAGCGGCGCGCCGGAGAGCTGGCTGCCGGGCTCCCCGCAGCTGCCGTGCGCGTTAGTGCAGAGCAGGAGCCGCCCGGAGCGAGCGGCGACGCGGCGGCGGCGGGGGGGGGCGGGGGTAGCGGGAGGAGGCAGGTCCCGGGGTCGTCGCGCGGCCCCGCCCTCGGCCCCGCTCACGGGGAGCGCCCCAGCGGCAAGACCAGGGCGACGCGGTGCCCGAGCGGGCGGGCCCCAGCGGCCCCGCGGCCCCGGCACCCGGCCGAGGCGCAGGCTGCAGGCGGCGGCGGCCCGGGAGCTCTGCCTCCCATTCGGCCGGCTAGGGCCCGGCGCACCAGGGTGCGGGCCGCTGCTCCTCCGGGTCCCCACGCGCAGCCTCCGTCTCCAACTTTACTTTCCCGGGCAGGGCACCGCCGCGCGTCCTTTTCCAGCCCCTCCTCCTGCTGCTCCCGGCGCGGGCGTCCCCCGCGGTCCGTGCTCCGCCGTGCGGGCACCGCCTCGCTCGCCCAAGCTGCGCCGCTGCCGCCGCCGCCGCCGCCGCCGCCGCCGCCGCCGCCGCCGCCGCCGCCGCCGCCTCCTTCTCCCCCGCCGCCGCCGCCGTGCGCTCCGCGGGAGTGCAGCCGCCCGGGCTCGGCTTCCAACTTGGGTAGAGTTGCGCAGCGGGGCGGGGCGCGGGCGGGCAGGGGCGGCCTGGCGGGCAGGCCAGCGCCGCCGGCCCGGGGGGAGCGGGCCGGGAGCCGGAGCCCGCGGCCGCCTCGGCGAACCTGCCTCCGCGGCGCCTGGGAGGAGTCGGGGCGGTGGCGCGGGGCGCGCGCCCTCAGCGAGGGCGCCCCCTCCAGGGCCGTCTGCAGTCTGCGGGACGGGGTTGAGTGCTGGCTGGCCTGCGCGGTGAGCTCCCCGAATCTGCTCTCAGGCAGCAGCCTCCTCACCTCCGCCCGGGCACACGCGCAAGCAGGCGCGCACACTCTCACGCAACACAGGCCGGCTAGGGGTCCGCGGCCTGATTGGAGAGCCAGCCTCTTGCTGGCTGTCCTCTGAGCGTGGGGGTCCAGCCCTGTCTCTGGCCAGTGCTCCCAGGCAGAGCCACCTCCGCACCCCTGGCCTTAGTCCCTCCCTCGCCGGCTTGCATGAATCATGACAGCAGCGACTGTGGAAGCTCCGGGCAGACTCCCAAGCTCTGCACCCATGTCGGCAATTGTTGAAGTTGAATTTTCATGCTGCGTGGTGCTGTTTTTAAAGGGTGGAGAGATGTTCAAAACCACCACCTTTAACTAATACCCCAAACCGATTTGTCCTGATGACGGGCATTTCTGCGTGGGTGCCTCACTCTTGCCCGCTTAGGGCCGAGTTGTTAGGGTAACCCCGCTTACCCCATCCCATGTCCCGGTCCATTGATTTCGCAGATGTGCACGGTCACTCCCCTGCCCAAGTCCAGGGCTGGTCCCCGCCTCCAGGTAGCCGGAGGTCTGTAGGAGGCAGACCTTGGGGAGAGGTTGGGGTTCCAGGGCTTGGCATTCTTGCTGGGGCCAACGGGAAGAGCTTTCCCCTTCAGAACCGCACCCAGGCTGGCAGCTGCTCCCCCTGCACCCTCAGATGGTGGGGAACTTCCGGCAGGGAGGGAAGGGAGCAGCCACGAGCGCCCAGTGATGGCTGGAACTGTGGGCTGCTTCCCTGTCCTCTGAGCTCCGCGAGGCCTCGGGGCCTGACCCAGGAGCGCTCAGAGGTCTCAGCGGAGATGCCCGCGGTGGAGCCCTGCGAGCCTCATTAATCACATGACACGGGAGGTGGGAGTCCAGCCCGGGCTGGGCCACCAACCAGACGTTGCAAGAGGGGGGCCTGCCCCAGAGGGGCTAACCCCCCCGGGCTAATCCCAGGCATTGAGGCGCCTCGCACGTGAGAGGTGCATGACCCGGGGAAGGCGGAGGGCGCCGCCAACCTTGTGAAAAGTCCTCCCGGTTCTGGAGGCCTGAAAGTGCCACCGACCCAGGCACCGGGGGTGCGTTTTGCAGGGAAGACCCCCCTCCCCCCCCGCACCCGCACCCGCGCCCGCCCTCCGTCGCTCGCACGCACTGGCGTCAGCGTGGTCCGCATTGCACCTCCCGCCTTGAGGCGCTCGCCACACCCTGAGATGGGTGTGGTGAGTGCCCTCAATGCCTGGGGGTGGGGTTTCCCGGAAGGCTGCCTGGAGGAGGGGGCTTCTGAGCGGCATTTGGAGGATGAAGGGGAGTTATTGGCAGGCGAGAGGTCCCTGCGGGCCGTGCGCCCTGGGGTGAGGGCGGGCTTTGCCTTGGAGGCTCAGGGAGCCAGAGGATCCCGAAGAGGGAAGCGGCAGGCATCTGCTGCAGGTTTTGGAGAGACCTCTCCCTCTCCCAGCTCCCAGCCAGCCATGGGGGCCCCCTCCAGACCGCCAGGGGTTCTCCTCTCGCAAGGAGCACTTTGGGAGCGGGCACGGGAACCTACGGGGTCCTGCTTCCACTCGACACCTCATGTGTCACAGCGGGGCAGCGTAGCACAAGGAATTGGGAGGCAAAAGGGCGCAGAGCAGCGGAGCCCAAAGGAGACGGGACTTGGCACTGCCCAGGAAGCGGCTCCCCTGGCTGGGGCAGGCGGGGGCCTCTGGGGTGCCTGGACGGCCAGGGGACCCAGGCCCCTACGGACAGCTGACTGGCCTTTGACCTCAGGCCACAGACACTGTACTGGTGGTAGCCTGTCCCTGGCACGACCTAAAGGAGGTGCCCCTCCTTCAGGTCCAGGCCTGGGGTCCAGGGGCAGAGGAGAGCTGGGCCCCCGAGGGGTCCCTGGGGTAGAGTGGCCCGTGGCTGGGCTTCGGGGCTGCATGGGGCGCAGGCTCGCCTGCTGCAGCCCTGGCTCAGGACCGCAGCTGTCCCTAAGGGGGCCAGGGCGGCCTCTTACGCCCGCCGTTGACCAACTGTCCCTGATTATCCCGTCACAAGCAGAACAGCACGGCCCGGGACAGGCCGCCTGTCCCGGAGAATCACTGACAGCAAGGCCCGGGCTTGGCGGGACCTGGAGAGATAGCGGGGAGGGTGCCGTGAGGAGCCGGGCTGCCTGGGGGGACCTGGGGGACACTGGGGAGAGGGAGCGGGACATCTGAGAGGGAAACCCCACGGAAGGGGAGGTCCTTGCCCTGCAGCGCCCACCCCTTGACTGGTGGGGCCCAGGAGGGCTGGTCTAGCCAGGGCCGTGCCCCCAAGGCCGCAGCCGGTCTCCTTGCACCCACACACAGCTGTGCACGTGTGCACATGCACTGCATGCATACACATGCCACATGCATATCCAGGTACATGCACACCCCTACCTGCCCACACACAGGTACACGCACATGCAGCCATGCAGACACCGCACTGCACACGGGTGTGATGCATCACACACATACACATGTGCACGTGCACCCACATGCCTACACACACATGCATGTGCACAAGAGCCACACAAATGTGTGTGCAGGCATTGCACATGCTCTGCACACATGTGTAAACTCATGCACACACCTCACACATGCATGTGTGTGCCATACATATGTGTACACATTCCTGCGTGCACCCACTTATGTGCATGTTCACATGTGCACGCATGGCGCGTGTGCTCGCCCTCACACACACAGGTGCCTCGCTCACACTCCCAGGCTGCAGGGAGGGAGGATTTCTGTCACCCGCCCCCGGCAGCTCTTCCCAGTTTCAGGCCGGGTCCTGCCTCGGCCTCGTTCAGGCAGCTCCTAGTCCCGCCCAGGCTGTGGGCCCCTGTGTCGCTGCCCATGTGGCCGCCCACGTGCTGTCCTGCAGGCTGGCAGCCTTTGGCCCGTCTCTCCCTGTGGCTGCCCCTCCTCCCCAGGAGGCCTCCCGGATCTGCAGGCTGGGCCGGAGGCCCCTTGCCGTCCGCCTGGGTGCCCCCTGGGCCCCCATCAGTGACCCTGTCTCTCTCGGCTGTGATCCGGCCGTGTCTCCGTCCCACCGCCTGGTACGGGGACCGGCCCACAGCCTCCGGCAGGACCTTAGGGGGAGCATAGCGGAGAGGCGGGGACAGAGGGCGCGGTCGGGACCCCTGCATGTCCTGGTTCCTCCAGCCTCCTCAGCGACCCCGGACGCCCACTCTGCACCACGTGCAGGACCCCGAGAGCACAGAGGAGCTGCGCCCCCTCCCGGCAGGCCGTCCGGCCCCCGCTCCGTGGGGGCTGCGGCCGTGGGCTGTGGGTGCCGCTCCCACTGGGCCCTTACGTGCTGCCTGGCAGCAGAAGAAGCTCCTGCCTCCCGGGGCCTTGGTGTCCCCCTCTGTACCATGGGGTGTCGGACAGGCTGGTTCTCAAACCCATGCCAGCTCTGCCCCCACTTCGCTGCCCGCCCTGCAGGTGGGCACGTGTCTGGCCTGCTGTCCTGCCCCTGCCGCCGGCGCCTCGGAGGCAGGCAGGGTCCCGGGTCAGGGGGAAGGCCCCTTTTGCGTCCCTGGCTGGCACGGCAACCGACGAGCCAGCCTGGCTTTCCAGCGTCCAGGCCGGGAGAACTGTTTTTCTCCTTCCAGCTGAGCTGAGGATTTCCCCCCCCCTGTTTACATGAAATTTTATTTTTACAGATGAGGCAGGGGAAGAGGAGACTCGCCTCTCTGCCTGCCCCTCCCCGAAGGGTTCCAGAACTGCTTTGTCTCATCAGACGTGGCCAGGCTCCGCGGGCCCGGGGCCGGGCTGTCCGTGCACTGACCCGCAGGTGGAGACGCCGCAGTATCGATCACAGTGACGGGTTTGGCTTGGCGGAGTCCTTGTGCAGCTGGCGCCGTTCCTTCTGGGGAGAGCTGTTTCAGGGACAGTCTCTGATCTACAACGAGTG